CTCTACAAGTCATTATAGCCTGATTCTGACTTAATAACTGAAAAAAAGATAAATCTATTTATGAATATTCAAAAAAGTTTATTCTTTTATTGACTGAAGTGCTTCTTATACTGCAACAAGGAATATAGTTTGTTTTTAAGGATTTACCTGTAGAATCACTTGATAGATAAAAGATGTTCCAATTTTTAACTAATAAAGTGAACTGAGTATTGCTCCATTCAGTTCCTTAATTATACAATACAAATATTGATAGACAGCTTCATTAGTCATTGTATTCTTATCAGCCAGAGATGTATTTCTAGCAGTGAGTCATTATATCACTAAACTTGGTTTATTTTCACCTAATATAAGACCATTAAATAGGGAAGATAGGGGATAATTTGTTTTTAAATTGACTTCTTCAATTAACTTTTATTATCCTTCGTTAATCCTTAAGTTAATTTTGGTAGTGATTCAGAAGGGAGAGAAAACACCAAACATTTGAAAACAATAGTTCTATAGTTCAAACGAATGAACTGTTCTATCGATTCATATAGATACGAACAGTTTTTCCGTTCGCCAGTACTCCAGTCGTTTATTCGTTTCATTTTTCCAGACTATTACCGTTATCTCAATTCAAATAAATGAACATTTATATTTAACATATAAATGTATGTAATAAATTGAATAAAACAATAGCAAAATAATGAAGTTAGTCGACTATTCTACTTATCATAGGTGATATATAGTGAGGACGCAGTCATTTTAAAAGTTTTTAAGCGTAGAACTCTGACTCCCTCATCAATTCGGACCTCAGTGCCTCATAATTGGTGCAGGCTATAAAGGAACCCCGTCTTTTCTAGGGGCGATCCGACAGTGGGAAAGAACTTCCTCAGTATAGATCCATCTGGAGTTGTCTCCCGTCGTCCGTTCCAATCTTTCAATGTATCATCCCGGAGGTCCATCTCCCATCTTTGGGGTCCGCACAGACCCTCTCTCATATAATCGTTGGTAAATCCACCAAGTCATTCCTCTTAATGTTGTATCAGAAAAGGTCTTCCCGGAGGAGGAGATCGAGAGGAATAATTCCTTCTAAGACCTGCACCGCCTCATGGGATACCGCCCTGTTTGATCTGGTTACTCGAACCAGGACCATTCGCTGGATCGTCGCCAACCTGCTCTTCTTACGTACGAGAGACTCCGGTTTCAGGCAGGAGATGCGTATCTTAGTATACTAACAACCACTCATTTATAAATGGTTATAGATGCTGAATATCTGTTGTCCCAAAGTCTCCTCCTATGCGACTGAGGCCATTAAGCGCTTCTAGAGCGCTAAGGCCACTCTACTTCTTAAATAATGCAAGTGAGGCGTCACGTTGAACTGTTTCCCAATCCTAATTTCAAGATAAGTGATCTCCTGCCTTTAGTGGATTTGTACTGCCGTGGATGGTTCGGTCTTGAGAACATTGGGCGAAGGCTGGCAAGCATCAGGTTTTCCAACACCTAGCTGATCATTTTTATGACATCTATATAAATAAAATAAAATTTTTGTCTGTACATTGAATAGAATCAACCCGTTTTATGATATTTTTCCGTTTCATACATTGCAGACACCGAATCCACTTAAAAAAAATATTTTGTGTCTGTATGTCAGTATTGCAACGAAATTTTGCCAGGGGTAAGCTCAGCAATGGCTGATTGCAGACTTTTGAAATTTTGACATTAAGGTTTGCTTGACTTAAAACATGGGCTTTAAATGAAAATAAAATATTAAGTATGATCAAAGTTATGAATTCTTGAGTAATTTGTCTAGAGATCCCGTTAGGCAGTTACTTACTTCGATTCCCATCCCAACCTACTCTACCGTGAGCCACATTTAAAAGTTTTACTACTCAACTGATGGAAAAAATGATCACAACTCAACGGGAAAAATCCGGAATACCGAACATCTGTAACGCGTTGTCGCATATAACATTTTACTTAGTTTTTAAATCTTAAATTAAATTAATTAATAAAAAGCAGTTGATTAAAATAATTTATAATATACATAAACAAAATTTGTCAAGAGCGAACCATCCACCGCAGTACAGATCCACTAAAGGCAGAAGATCTGGGGGGGAGGGGAGATCAGAAAGGGAGACAACCCCAAATGGATCTACACTGAAGAAGTTCTTTCCCACTGTCGGATCGCACCTAGAAAAGACATGGATCCTTCCGGAAACTAGGTCTCACAAATTCTCATGGTGTATGGGGGTTTCAGAGCAGATATTTTAAACATGGTAAAAACGTCAACCCTTATGCCCAACTTGTGACGTACCGGAAACCGCTGAGCACGTCTTTGTAGCCTACACCAATTATGTGTTACAGAGGTTCGGTATTCTGGATTTTTCCCGTTGAGTTGTGATCATTTTTTCCATCAGTTGAGTAGTACAACTTTTAAATGTGGCTCACGATAGAGTAGTTTGGGATGAGAATCGAAGTAAGTAACTGCCTAACGGGATCTCTAGACAAATTACTCAAGAATTCATAACTTTGATCATACTTAATATTTTATTTTCATTTAAAGCCCATGTTTTAAGTCAAGCAAACATAATGTCAAAATTTCAAAAGTCTGCAATCAGCCATTGCTGAGCTTACCCCTGGCAAAATTTCGTTGCAATACTGACATACAGACACAAAATATTTTTTTTAAGTGGATTCGGTGTCTGCAATGTATGAAACGGAAAAATATCATAAAACCGGTTGATTCTATTCAATGTACAGACAAAAATTTTATTTTATTTATATAGATGTCATAAAAATGATCAGCTAGGTGTTGGAAAACCTTATGCTTGCCAGCCTACGCCCAATCTTCTCAAGAACGAACTATCCATGGCAGTACAAATCCACTAAAGGCAGATCACTTATCTTGAAATTAGGATAACTGGGAAACAGTTCAACATGACGCCTCATTTGCATTATTTAAGAAGTAGAGTGGCCTTAGCGCTCTAGAGGCGCTTAATGGCCTCAGTTACATAGGAGGAGACTTTGGGACAATAGATATTCTGCATCTATAACCATTTATAAATGAGTGGTTGTTGGTATAATAAGAGACGCGTCTCCTGCCTGGAACCGGAGTCTCTCGTACTGTAAGAAGAGCAGGTTGGCGACGATCCAGCGAATGGTCCTGGTTCGAGTAACCAGATCATAAAGGGCGGTGCAGGTCTTAGGAGTAGTTACTCCTCTTGCGGGAAGATCTCTTCTGGCACAACATTAAGAGGGATGACTTGGTGGATTTACCAACGATTATATGAGAGAGGGTCTGTGCGGACCCCAAAAGATGGAAGATGATCCTCCAGGATGATACATTGAAAGATTGGAACCAACAACGGGAGACAACTCCAGATGGATCTATACTGAGGAAGTTCTTTCCCACCGTCGGATCGCCCCAAGAAAAGACGTGGATCCTTTGTAGCCTGCACCAATTATGAGGCACTGAGGTCCGAATTGATGAGGGAGACAGGGTTCTGCGCTTTGACAGAAAATGAGTTCTCTCAACTGATCTCTTCATGGAACTACTCGCACTTTAAAAGCTTTGTGGGAGGATGGAAAATCCTGTAGGCCAATGATACAGTTCCTGAGAGGTAATGGGACAGAACAGGATAAGATGGTGGAAGAACAAATGAAATGGAAGCAGGCTGTGTACACAACAATTTATACCAATGTAACAGATAAATTTGCTGCAGTGATTTGTTATGCAGCCATGTGTATCAACTCACTGCAGCAAACTCTCGTATTGCCTTAAAAGCAGGATATGGAGGAAAATAAAATATATTAAGGGAGAGTACAGTGATTGTGAAAATTTTCGAATCTGAGTTTTCAATGGAAATAAATGTTTTGAGGTCTCCTGAGTCCAGATAACCAAGTTCCATAAAATGGTCTGTGTGTATGTGAACAGCCTAGCTCAAAAAGGAAATTCCTACAGTTATGGAATGGACTAAAGCCCTAACAAATAATAATAATATTAGTTTAATCTTTATTTTAATAATTGAGTTTGTTAACTGAGCCAATTGATGAATTATGTATTGACAATTCCCATAAATCAAAGGACAAAGTTATCCCTGATGGCTTAGAAATAGTTATCTAGAAGGCACCGACTGGACACAATAAGACCCATTATTAAGACTTAGGGAACAGATTTCAGGAAAAGGTCTCATTCACACAGACCTCATAACACCTAAAAGTTCAAAGAAAGTTCCTTAAGCATGTCAACTACTGATGCATTTACCCTATGTTCTGTAGCTCTGCCTTTAGTATGTTAATCAACCGACTTGATGAAGTATAGACATCAGTAGACTTCATATTCTATTTGTTATTAACATTATAGAAATTCTAAAAACCGAATAAGGCTTTAACAATGTAGCTTATATACATTCCATTAATCAGGAAACAGCTAGAATTGTAAAACAGATAGACTTCATATCTAATATCTGCATCAAATAGACTGTCAATCATGAAGATTATCTTCTCTCCTAGGTGCGAAAAATAATCACATCCCTAGAGAATTCAGAAAAAAAACTTATGAATAAAAAGAGACTTTATTTTACCACTACTCAAAATACACAATTTATGGTGGAGCAAGCAAGCCCAAGGAAATTTGAAAGGTTTTTAAATTTCATGCAGAATGATATAAATAAATCATCGAAATCCGACCATTTTTAGCTAAGATTATACAGCCAGTTGTAAATTGTACATATAATTTGAATAAGCCATTGTAATTGACCAAGGAAAAGAAAATTAATTCCTCTCTCTCATAATCCATTGCATTTAATTATTTCCGTATTATATTATACTATGTTCACTGATTAATATACAATGTATTTCACTAATTCACATGGGCCAACTTATAATCAGTTAAAAAATAAACATACTATAAAATCCCAATAATAGTAAATTAGATTACATTATATATCAATTAATGGAACAATAATTGAAACTTATCAATACCATATATGGAAAGGAATATGATAAAAACAAAATTTAGATATTAATATGTTTTCCCCTTTATATATAGTTCACTAACAAAATAGAAAATAACAATTCCACAGAAAGTTACTAATAATAAAAATATATAGTATGTTATGTACCAAAAATAATTTTCAGTTACTCTGCTAGACAAAAATAAGCTAAATTAAAAATATTTTATCTGAATGTACACCATAAAAAATAAAATAAAACATATATAAAGTAATTATAGTCAACATTCTGCTTATGATAGTATATACATACCATTATAACATATCACTCATCAGTCTTATTCGATTTTAGAACCATACAAGTTATCAATAAAAACTAATATACAGAAGATAAAAATCAATTTAATAAAATACTTACACTAGATATTAAATCAATAAGTCATAAAGTGACTAGTATTCTTAGTTTTAAATAATAAAACTGATTAATTTTGATTTTGAAATCTCAACATATTATTTTTCTTAACTAATGGGCAATAAATAATGAAAACACTACTTTAGTACCACATAGAATATACATATGTAAATACAGAATGTTACTGTTTTTATGAATATTTATTTTACACTATAAAACAAATTTATAGACTCCTGTTTCAAAGTATAATTACTTCTCTCACATTATATTTGTAAGTTGCCATTTATTATTACAGAATATCAAATAATATAATCATTTGCATCACTCAACAATGAAGAAAGAAACAAAATATAATGTATACATTTCAACAATATTACAATAAATATTTAGGTATTACATATTAGATTAGATGAAGTATATAATTCCAAAAGCAGCCAATTCTATTTCCATTATTATTGTTGTTGTTTTTTTTAATTTTTGCTGTCTTAAATAAACAGTTTTCAAGCTAAATCTATCATGAAAAAAAAAAATTATTTCAAAAACAGTTGTTAAATCACATGCCATTTAAAAGAAATCATTTCACCTCATGATAATGCAGATAGTACTGAGAATGTTTTAATTTAAAAAATTTAAACAGGAGTAGACTAGTTTTGGATTTATACTCATCAAATCCAAACAAATTACAGAAAAGTGAAAACTAAAAAAAAATGAAAATGACTGATTAAATCATCCTTATCTTTCCAAAATGAGAGGAAATATAATAATTATGCATTAAGAAAAATAACATAAAACTTTAAGAGAGTAAGTTCTTAAAAATTGTGTAAAGTAAATCACAGCAAAGACAAAACATATTAACAGTAACATAAAAATATATGATAAAAAAAAATTCTGCAAACACGTTAAATTATTTACATTGAATAAAAATCATGTTTAAAAATTTAGAAGTTGAGCATTTGTCACTGTAACCCATTGTACTTAATCAGTTAATTGGCATTATATTAGCAATATAAGGCCCCTTTAGATCATTTGTGCATTATAACTTTTAATTAATTTTAGTATATGTACCACCAAAGCGAGTACCTTTAATTAATTGATCATTATTAGATAAAAAAATAAAATAAAATAAAAACTGGAAGCTTTTGATTTCATACTTTACATAACATGTCGAGTATACAACCACTAACAAGGATAATTTTAATGAAGGGGAAGAGAAAAAAAAATTAGATCAATACTTAATCAAAATTTAAGTTATGCAGCATATTCATCAATAATGCTAATTTATAATAAAAAAAACAGAGATTTCACAAATGATATCAAAAAAATAATAGAGGAAAAAACTAATAACAAGTTTCTTGATAATGTAACAGTTCACAACTTAGCTTGAGTATTCAATAATTTTTTATTTAAAAACTTTACAAGATATAAATAATTTTACTGATAAGCAATCAGCTCAAAAATTTGACTCAATGTTATGCAGAAAAATATAAGCCGAAAGTGTAAACGAAGAACTCTTTAGGGCAAGAGATTGGACCACATTAGCTAAAGGCCATGCTTGGTATAATGGTATAAATAAAAAAAAAAAAAATGAAATAAGCAGTCTAAATAAAATTAACCACAGTAACAGTAAACCTCTTTAAAAATAATATTTAATTTTCAGTCATATATTATTTCGTCATATTGTTTCATATATATGATGTAAAATGAAAAAAAAATAGATCCTCCAAAAAATTCAACAGTGCTTAAATTTTACAACTCATTACCATAGAAATGATCATATCTGAATAAAAAATGAAAAGAAACATTCATTTTATCATAAATTTTAGTGTAAATAAGTATATATACTTAAAATTATTCATTTATTCATATTTGCTAAAAAAATTATAGGAAGATATTACCGGAAATGCTATAAAATTATATCTAAGAGTAGTTTTAAATTTATCTTTCCAATTTAAATTTTAAATAAAAAACTAAAAATATAGAGTCACTTTACTCAAGAGTGATTGCCATTATTTTGAGAGCAAACATGGGTGGAAAATTTGAATCATCGATGAAAAGAATTAATTAAGAAACTCATGTGGTTTACAATTAATTATTACATTAAAATTCTATTTCTCTAGGTGAAACCTGAAACTCCTAGAGAGTGCATCCTTTGAGTGAGCTCAGCACTGTCTTATGGACCAACAGGTACCCAGTGCGGGAGAGGGGCATAGCCTGGCCACCCTTCATCTGAGGGAATAAATATTCAATATTCAAAAGACCAGTTGTCCCGATCCTAATCACCTGCAAAGTAGTTTAACTGATTCAAAGCTTATTAAGAAGACTCAGACAGGATTGAATTTAACAGTTACACCATTGCATTCATATGACATTTGACAAGCCCTAAATCACAGGACATACAGACACTTAAGTGGAAGAAAGAAGAGATTTCAGTGGAGATGAAGGCCTACTATGTGGACATCCTAGGCTTAAGCAAAATGAATAAAACGGGTGACAGAGAGCTAAGACTACCCAAGAACCATACTATGATATATGTAAAGAATACCACATCTAAAGAAGGAGTAGGAATAATCATGAAGGATAATATTTTCGCAAAGGAAGAAAAATGGAACACTGTATCTTTTAGGTTTGTAACTATGTATTTGTAAAAATAACAACAAAGCAATTATTTTTATCCAGATATATACCCCTGCTGAGGATGCAGACACCCTTGAAAAGGAACAATTCTATACTAAATTGGAACGAGAAGTTATTAAGGGCAAGGAATGAGAATAGGAAGATAATTATAACGGGTGACCTTAACACAAGAACAGAAAATGATTTCAGCTGACCTCATGGGGTAATAGAAAAATATGGTGGTGAAGAAACAAAAAACTACAAGTGGTCAGATTGATTTCTGCTTGGACATTAACCTACTGATTGGGAACACCCTATTTTCCCACAAAAAAAAAATAAAATAATTACTTTCAATGACCAAAAAAGGAATGCTAATAGCATTATTGAATATTTTCTGTACAGTATAAATATCAGAAGACTTTTTTTAGATTTAAAGGTCATAAGAGCAAAGAAAATCATCTAATACCAAATGATGCTTGCAACTGATACGGAAATTCTTAAGCCACGAAAACATCAAAAATATTACATAGAAGAATTGATATTTCATAGTTTCAGAATCCACAAATTCTAGAAAGGTATGAAAAAGAACTTTGAACAAAACTACAGAAAATTAACTTTGTTGCACTGTTGGATGAGATGTGAAAGATGTCAGACATAAGATTTTGCAGGTTGGAACAATGATATGTGACAGCAAGAAATATTACTTCAATGGAAAATGAACTTGTGAAAACAGCTGTACAAAAGAAGAAAATCTCATCGAACACATACCTAAACAGCAAAAATTACCAAACCTGGGAACTATACAGAGATTGACATTTCCACAGAGAAAAAAAGAAAAATTAGTAGTGAGAAGGCTAAAAAGAAGAGCTGGGGGTAGAAATCTACAGAATGATTATAATGAAAACATAAGATTTATGGAAAAAGATAAAAACGGAGGACGTGGAGTGATTGAGTGCTACAGGGCTTATTTCAGAAAATATATGACGAGAAAAGAAAAAGATTGTAAGAATAATGTCATCATACAAATCCATAAAAATGGAAGCCAAAGCATCTGTAACAACAAAAGACCAATATTGCTTGCCCCAAAATTGTATAAATCAATCATTGAGAAGTGACCCAAAGTCATAGTGGAAAAATAAGAGCAAATCGCGCTCAGATCCCTTAGATAAACTCAGATATTTTCTTTGAGGACAACTATAGAGAAGTCTTGGGATCGAGATAAAAATCTATACCTAGCTTTTCTTAAGACTTCTAGGCCTCTTTTGATTCTGTACCACGAACCAAAATATAGAATGCACTGAAGGCAAACAACGTTCCTGTGGAATTAATAGACATTATTAAATCCTCGCATAAAAAAATAAAGGCATAATTGATGGAAAGGAGTCAGGAAGCTTGGATATGAAGAGAGGTTGAAAGAACTCAATAAATACAGATAGATAGAAAATGTGTACCAAACGGATATTGTGGATCACCCAATTTTGTCGAAGCCAGATCAACCAAGAGGTAGGACAAGGATATCGTGTTTGGATAGTGTGGCTCAGAAGGAGAGAAGAAAGGAAAGCAGCGGCTAGATTTACTGGAGGCATTGGCAAGGAACTGGTTGTGCTTGGGTCGAGGCATCGCCATGCAGAAGGACAGAGGAGGAAGAAAAAGAATATTCTATTTTATTTGTAAATATATCACCTGGTTTAATAATTCACATAATAGAGTTTTAACTTTTTTTTTTAATTTTAATTTCCTCGTCATTTTTAATGAATTGAAATTTTTTTACAAGGAGGCTATAAATTATTTTAGAACAGGATTGTAGTTAAATTGTCAGAATTCAAAGGAAAATGGCATCTATATTTAATAGATATCTAGCAATAAATAACTAAATTGCTGGTGCTGTGGAAGAATGCTGCAAAAATTTACGGGATACATAAATATACCAGAAATAACCAACATTTTTCTAACTTGAATTTTTTTCTAAAAAAAAAATAAATATTCGATATTATAGTTGTATTTATCAAATATTGCTGTTATATATTTATTATATAGGAAGCAGAGTTAAGATAAGATAATAATTTAAAAAATTATATACAGTACCTAGATAGATATGAGAAAGAACTGCAGTAAAGTTTCTTCAATTAAGAAAAACAACTAAAATGTATATACATATATTTTAATGTTCATGTAATTTCACATTAATCACAATTATCAATCTTAAATTTATGGGGATGAAGTATGATCTAGCCTATTCATGCGCATCTGAGAGTGAGCAAATGTTATAACACATAAACTAATTGAACACAAACAAAAAGTAAGTAAACTAAGAGTTATATATACAACAGTAATTTGCCAAAAAGCAAAAAGATACACTATTTTGTTACAGTAAGGACCCTCGCGAGGATCGTAGTTTGGTTTATATTCTTTATAGACCCAATAAGTTCCTGAAACATATATAAACAACATAAATTCTTTTATGTTAATAATAAATAAATAAATAGTTATTTATTGTTAAATATATGTTTATGGTAATTAAATGAAACATTGTATTTAAATCAATAGAAACAAAGTGTCAGGATTATTATTTTTTTTTTAGTTCAATCATTCATATCAATTTTTTTAAAAATAATAACAAACATTTTACATGTCCATCTGGATAGATAGTAATATTAAAAAATGATCATTATAAATAATTATTTTAAAACTTTAAAATGGAAAATCAGCCAAAATGTGAAAAATTTTTGGACATGAGAAAAAATTAGGTTTTTAAGGCATTTACTAAATTCACATGCAATGTCGGTGTGCTGGAACCATTAGAGGTCCTTCAGACTACTAGAAATTTAAATAAGAAAAAAATCCATGCCATGAGAAATTTAAGATTTAAATACTGCAGGATAATTGAAGGACAATGGAAGTTTATGGAGACATACAAGGAATCTTTTAAAGCATCGTGAGGTGTCAGAACCCCAAGATGAGAGGATGGTTCTTGGGCTGTTTCGGACGAACAAAGGTCTGAGCTCTTTGCTACTCATCTTTCCTCAGTTTTTAAATCACATACGGACTTCGTTAATACTGAACATGATATTTTTGTACTAAATAACTTAGACATACCACTACAGCTCACACTACCGCCACCTCCTTTCACACCATCACAAGTTGCACAAGAAATTAGACAATTACCGAAAAGAAAAACCCCCGGTCATGACTTGATAAATGCTGAAGCGCTCCAGCAAATGCCGAGGAAAGCTCTCGTGTTTCTCATAACAATCTTCAATTGCATTCTTAGGACCATAAAATTTCCAATACAGTGGAAATATTCTCATATAACCATGATTAAAAAGCCAGACAAAGAAACTAACAATCCTTTTTCACATAGACCGATTAGTTTGCTTCCAGTGTGCTCTAAATTATTTGAAAACTATTGTACTCACGACTATTACATATTACCAGACAAACAGATTATTCCTGACCATCTATTCGGGTTATGAAAATTACATTCAACAACACAACAACTACACAGGATAACTGACTACATATCGACAGCACTAGAGCGGAAAGTATATGCAACCGGAGTATTTCTGGATGTCGTCCAAGCATTCGACAAAGTATGGCATCAGAGGCTTCTCTTCAAACTTAAGACCATACTTCCACCACACTACTACTTAATTCTTCATTCCTTTCTCTCAGACAGATTTTTCTCCGTTCGACACGGTTCAGGTCTATCCTCAATTCGACCTATTTTAGCTGGCGTACCTCAGGGGTCAATCTTAGCCCCACTACTGTACCATAACATACACACATGACATTCCTCAAAGTATCCACACCGTTACAGCAACCTACGCAGATGACACTGCTATCATTACTAGACACGATAATCCTACACAGGCATCACTTAACCTACAACATCACTTACAAAAAATAAACGATTGGTGTAAACTATAGAAAACTCAAATAAATTATCAAAAGTCACAACACATCACATTTACTCTAAGACAAGAAACATGCCCTGATGTGTACTTAGACAACATACCGATTCCACAAACAGAGTACAATACCTAGGCCTGATGTTTGACAGAAGAATGACATGGGGTCCACATGTAAAGAAAAAACGTGCATCATTAAATCACAGATTTAAACTGTTGCACTCATCATTAAGACAACATTCTAAATTAAAAGCAAGACAGAAATTAAATATTTATACATATTTATTGAAACCTCTCTGGATTTATTGACTACAAATATATGGAATTGCAAAACCAACACACATAAAACGACTTCAAACTTTTCAGTCTAAGATACTACAACTAATTACCCAAGCACCCTGGTACGCGAATAACAACACTTTACACACTAACTCACACATGCCAACGATCAATGAACACATACGAAGTTACTACAAACGATTTCATAATAAATTAAATGGACACTCCAACCAGCTAATTAAAGAAATGGCCAGTACTATTATGCCGGAGAACTCCAGAAGACGACTGAAGAGGGTCTGGATGAGGGACCTACTTACATAATTGTAAGTAAGTAAGTAAAAGCCATGGAAGGGATGCCGCTGAGTATTGCTTTTCTTCATGCCTATCAAGCCTTTTTTTTTTTTTCTTTTTTTTTTGTCTTATGATTGTAATTGGCGATGGTTGTAATTGACAGGTGCGGATTAATAAATAAAAGTGCTAAAAAAAATATAAAAAATACAGCAGTACACCATATATACATTCCTAACCTAATCATAAATACTTTCCCATTAATCTAACATCAAACACAGAAACCAAAACATGGAAAAAAGAAATATTAAATATTGTTTCAACACATAATTCAAACAAATGATGTCCTATTACAATATTTAAAAAGATCTGGTGCGAAGCACGCATCATGCAACTTTCATGTACCTCCCTCTTCTTAACAGAAATAAGGATTTTCAGGCAATAGCCCAGTAAAATTAGCACAAAAAAAGGGTTAGCACATATAAAAAAATCTGGTGTGTGTAACAAACAACTTTCACTTACCACCCTACTTTGAGTAAAAATAGGTCTTTTCATCATTTGATGTTTTAGACTTTAAGTCATTAGCGCCCGTAATAAAGCAATACTATTATTAAAATATTTAACTGGTAGCAACTGAAAGTAAAAATCATAGATGGTACAACATATTATTTTAAACAATTAATTATTCTATATTTTTCAAGTCTAATATATTTCATTTTTGTGTTTTTTGTCACTAACGAACATTTTCTTTTACGACTGTTTATTTTAATTATTTATTTAATTATAATAAATAATTAAGTGCCCTGAATTCTTTTTACTCCGAAAAGAGTGTCAGCACTAGCGGATCCAGGATTAAATTTTGTGGGGGTAAGGCTTCAGTCCGAAAGGTTTTTTTTTTTTATAAATAAGGATTACTACTATGTTAGAAAAAGAAAGAACTAACTGATTACCTACATGAAATGGTGTTTAATTGATTCTTGAAGTTCTATTAAATATAATTACATGCACAATAATACTTTTAAAAATAGGTTTTTTAATATTTATTTCATAAGACATGGTTATGTTTTAACATTCAGCCCGAAAAGCCTCTCTTTCTCCCCCCGTAGATCTGCCTATGACTGTCAGTAAGGAAGTTATTTACTCATATATGTTTCATTGTGAGTATATTTTTTTAAACCCTGTTACAAATACAGATTTTAATTTTTATATTGATGTAACCTATACATTTAACTATTAAATAGTACTAGCACTAGCATTTATGAAAACCATACATGTATAAGTAAATAATATAATGGGAACCCATTCACCAAGCTTGAGGGAGCGCTCGGGTTATCTCGACTCCTCATTATCACCAAGTTTAATCGATTATATAAAGTACCACTTCCGGTTTGCCGATTTTGAGGCAAAAGTTGCTGTAACATCCTGTTCATATAAAAATCTTAAATACGCAATTTCAGTTTTGTATGATTTTTCATTTTTGAGCTAGTTTATTCACATAGATACACTCACACACACAGACCATTTTGTGGGACTTGGTTATTTGGACTCAGGGGACTTCAAAACATGTATTTCTGTTGAAAACTCAGATTTGAAGATTTTCACAATAGCAATACTTAACCTTACTATATATTACATATATAGATAAGTGAAAGTTAAAAATGGTTATACCCTTACTATATATTACATATATAGATAAGTGAAAGTAAAAATTGGTTATATTCAATCTTAAACAGCTTAAAATTATTTAAATTTTTTTTCTAAACCCAACAGGAAGTGAACTATCGAGCTTTCAAAATGGGAAAAGTTTTGAAAAAAAAATGACAATTAAATTATTATATTAATACTTGTTCATTAATACAATCATTATAGCACTTTATCTATGCCATTTATGAGTACTTAATAATGTGGCAGAGGACTATAGGTGCCTATGCCCATGCCACTTTTCCACCAATTCCGTGTATTTTCAAAGTGACTGCTTCAGATATTTTAAAAAGTAACAAATTTTTTAGAAATGTATTCTCCAAATGTTTTTTTTCAAGGCGTTTTTTGTTATTGTTGGCCGTTTATTTACAAACGATGCTTCATTTCCAACTTTAGTTTGAACAACTTGACTTTTTAACTGGTGTTTTTTATTGCCTAGGCCTATTATTACTCATCTTAGGCCGGCTACTCAATTCAATCCGTTCTCCTTAAAATAACCAATGACCTCCAAAACTCCATTGAACACCAAAACCTTACTATCCTCATCCTTCTAGATTTTTCCAAAGCGGTTGACACAATTGATCATAACAGACTCCTCACTAAATTACACAATCTTCCTCTATCCAACAGTACCCTGTGCTGGTTCAAATCCTTCCTCTCAAATCGGTCCCAGTATGTAGTTGTCTCAGGTCAACCTCCATCTAAAACCCTTCCCCTCTCCTGTGGTGTCCCTCAAGGTTCCTCTCTATCCCCTACTCTGTTTGCTATTTATATAAATTACGTTCACCTCCTGATCCATCACTCTCAATACCATATCTATGCAGATGATTTCCAGATATATCTGTCCTTCCCGGCCACCGACCTATTATCAGCCACAGAAAAACTTCAACAAGACTTGGATAGAATTTGTGACTGGGAAAAGCTCTCAAGTTGAATTTGAATGCATAAAAGACGAATGCAATCTTAATAGGCTCCAATCACCTCCTTAAAACTGTTCCTAATATTCCAACTCTGTTCCTACATGATAATCCCATCAAATTCTATCCTTCTATCAAAAACCTTGGAATGATATACGATCAAATGCTTTCCTGGAAAAATCATACATCCAACATCTCCCACCCTACCATTTCCACCTTAAAATGTCTAAATTACTCCCGTCACCTATTTCCCCTTGAAATCCGTAAGCTCCAAGTAACTTCCTTAATTTTTCCCCACTTTGACTATTGCTATACGTTATATGGGGGCCTGTCTCTGGGGATCTCGAGGCAAAATTAAAACGTTTGATAAATTTCTTTATACGATTCATCTTCGGGATCCCAAGGGATGCCTCTGTTTCCCGTCCTTCCTCTTTCAAGTCATCCTATCCCACCATCCTTCATACATCTCTGAGCTCCTTCAATTCAAATTCTCTGTTCGTTCCCGCAATACTCGTTCCCAGTCTTTTGATTTGTACATAAGGGCCCACCGAACCGCTGCTTTCGACAGATCGTTCATTATCCGATTCCTCATCCCTATGGAACTTCATCCCTCCCGACATCCGTCAATCCAAAACCCTTCCTACCTTTAAAACTATCTCATTGTACTTGTGTGAAAGAAGAAGTGAAATATAAAAATATTTCATGGATAAGTTTATAACCTCAAATATATTTCCTATAGTTTAATAACTCTAGATAAAATATTATATTTAAATAATTAGGTAACTATTGGCCGTTTATTCTAAAAAATCATCAAGTAACCTTTTAGAAAATTAAATTAGTGAATAATTTGATGAATTTGCCCTTTGTGAAATCCCAACATTATCCACTTATAATTAGTGTGACAATTTTTGACCTATCCATGGCACACAAAAATCTAGTAATTTGGTTTTAGTAAACTTTACAATGGAAAATAACAGTTTAATAACTCATAGCTCTACGATCCATAATCAATTATAGGTTAAATATTCAGATATGCTTTCAAACCTCTCGAGGCATATATGAGCCTTTTGATTGACAAAATGACTAACCCCAATTTCAACATTCTTTATTATTAATTTTAGTGATGTTTCTAGTGGCAAAATTTACACCTTTATTCGCAGTTATATATTTCAACACTGCAATCACCTACTCTGAAATCAACTTACTCACTGTCTGTATAGATACAACTAAAAAATGTTGAAATTGGAATTAGTCATTCTGTCAACTGAAAGGCTCAGAAACTGAAGTTGTGCGGTTTATAAAAGCAGATGGAATAACGAGATTTTTATTGCATACCGTCGATATAAAAAATAGACTTTTTGTAATTTTAATGGTCTTAATGATTTTTCTGTAAACTTTAAGCTTTAGCTCCGTTGAAAATGTACTTCAAAAATTTTATAATAACCCAGCATTGCGACAATATAATTTCTATTCAAAGTAGAGCGGTAAGTGAAAGTTGTGTGTTGTGCACATCAGATTTTTTATTATGCTTTCATGTTTTATTATTCTCTAACTACCCAGCTTTAAAAGCCAATTATTGCGAAATTAAGCCAAATGCCAAATTTTAGTGACCGAAAAACTAACTCAAATCAAAGACTTCAATCTGCTATGTTTGAACATCATTTTGGGATAGTGCGGGCACTTTTTTACATTGGAACATTAGCTTTTTTTTTTAGTAAATATTTACAAGGAATACAACTGCATGTAATTTATTGGGATGTGGAGGGAGAGTGAACGCTTCCTGACTACCGTCTACCATTCCAATCAATGGTTCATTATCTTCAAGGAAAACCGCCAAATTCTCTGTACGAGGTTCAAAATGGAGTTACAGAATTCTTCCAGGCAAAACTGAAAAAAGCATTATTGTGAAGAAATCCAAATAGGTAAATTTTGAAAGCTCGATAGTTCACTTCTTGTTGAGTTTAGAAAAAAATGTAAAATAATTATAAGTTGTTTAAGATTAAATACCATTTTTTATTTATGTTGCTCTAAAAAGGACCATAAACGTAACCCAAAAACCATGAGGCGTAAACCAAAAAAAGTTTGAAATTTCAATGGTTTTTGGAGCACTGCAGCGAACCCACAAGGCTTTCAAGGGCGGAAACTTAGATTTTTTATACTCACTGCATACCTAACAATATAAAAAAATAACGAGAAAAATAACTCCGCTCATTACCGCTGATTAGGAGCATCCCACGGGTGGCAGATGTGGGGATGGTCGGTGGAAATTCCTTGGTAGTTCCTCTCGGCTAATTATAAGTCATAAATAATTATAAGTGACGCGAACGCAAAGGTAGGAAGGGAAGAAGTTTATATTCCGACGATTGGTAAAGAAAGTTTGCACGAATATAGTAATGATAATGGGATCCGTATGATAAATTTTGCCATCTCGAAAAAAATGATAATTAAAAGTACGACGTTTAAACATAAGGATATTCATAAATATACTTGGACATTGCCGGTTCGCAAATACGAAATCAAATCGATCAAGTCTTGATACAACCTGGCAAAGCAGTATAATTAATGTACGGTCTTATCGCGGAACAGAATGTGGGTCGGATCATGAATTAGTAATTGCGAAACTTCGACAAAAACTTAATATAAAAAAAATAAAAGAAAATCGTTTCGATTTTCAGAATTTTAATTTGGAAAAATTAAAAAATCCATCAATTAGAACCCAATTCGAGCTAGATGTTAAGAATAGGTTTGAAGCTTTACAGCTTCCTGACGAGGACCACGAGGTTATTGACAAGTTATGGGTAGAGATCAGAGATAATATTAAAGCGATCTGGAACTTGTGTCTAGGAAAAAAGGATAATAAGAATAACAAACCGTGGTTTGATGAAGATTGCTTATAGATGTGCGAAAAAAGAAAAGCTGCTAAATTAAAAGCTCTAAATAATCCTAGCGAAAACAATCTGGAATACTTTTGCAATTGGAATACTACTGGAATACTTCTTTGAACCTCAAAGAACGAAACGACAAAATTGCTCAAAAATAAAAAAAGGGAATATCTTAAAAATAAAATAATTGAAATAGAAACTAATAGAATCGAAAATAACGTAAGAGACATGTACAAAAACAACAAGGCTTCCGGTGCAGATGGTTTACCTGCTGAGATCCTCAAGTGTGGTAGCCAAGAACTCACTAAAGTCCTGCACCAAATAATCCTAGGAATAATTAAGCAGGGAAAAGAATCCCATCAGACTGGTATAAAACCATAATCTGCCTAATAAACAAAAAGGGCGATGTTCTTGAATGTGGGAACTACTGAGGGATTTCTCTTTTGTCATGCGCCTACAAAATACTCCCACAAATACTATTCCTTAGGCTCCTTCCTTTTGCCGAGAGAGAAATAGGAAAGTATCAAGCAGGTTTTATGAGGGGTAAAGGAACAATTGATGAGATTTGGACATCTCCAAGGAGATGGTCTGGGGTGGTGGTCATAAAAAGGCTAAATAGTGGCAAAACTATTTTATTAAAAGCCAACATTTCGACTCGACTTTGTAGGTCTTCTTGAGGGAGGTGTGTCCAGCTAGGAGTTTCCCTTAAAACTCAGTTTTTCCTCTTAAAATGGAGATAAAACCAAGTCTTCCAAAATGTATAGAGTACTGGTTTAATGATTTTCATGTGGCTCCCTCATTAAAATCAGTTTTAAGTGAAACTCCTAGCTGAACACACCTCCCTGAAGAAGATCTACAAAGTGGGGTCGAAATTTGGCTTTTAATAAAATAGTTTTGCCACTATTTAGCCTATTTATGAACGGCACCCCGGACCATCTCCTTCCGTTAGATTATTATGTTATGTTAGCTTGAATTTTCTTATAATGCCAAACAATTTTCATCTTTGTGTTTGTTAATTATTCTAAGGGGATTAAATGTCCCAGAATAAATTTTATTTTCCTTTCTTTCTTTCAAAATTGGCCAATAGATCATGTTAGCAAACATCAATGAGAATAAAACCTACATCATATTAAAAACTGCTTAATTTTATACTGATATAATGAATTTAATCAAAATTGTTAGATCCGTTTTGGAAAAAAATTTTAAATCTAAAATAAATCATCAAAGTTACAGTAAACAAATGTGAATTAACGGGAATAAATGAGAATATACCTGCGATAATAAATGAAAATAATTGAGAATTTAGATCAAGAACGTACACAGAAAATTAATATTTTTATTTTCATTTCTAAAGATTGCAGCCCCTAAACAACTTCTCTTTTATATAATCAATAGTATTTTCTATAAATTAAAAAGTATAATTCTGAACAGACACGCAGTGCCGGCCTTTGACATTTGGTGCACCTGGGCAATGACATTATATTCCTCACTAAAAAATTTAGTTTATTTCTTAAGCTGTTTTATATTATATAATATTAGATGAGAAGGAATTAGTCGAGGGTGCGGTCAAAAATAAAAAAATTAAAATATATAAATAATTTTAATTTTTGCTGTTTCGACCCACTTTGCAGGTCGTCTTCAGGGCGTTGGATGTGGCACTGCGGGAGGCGGTTGAAACACTGTGTGTTCACACACAGTGTTTCAACCGCCTCCCAAACAATAACACATATCCAGTGCCGTTCTGCCACTGCTGCTGTTGAAGAAAGATGGCGAGCCTGTCTTAATGCTCAAGGAAATCACTTTGAACAACATTTAATATGAATGTTAATGTTTGCATATAATTAATAAAGTAGTTAGAACAAATAGATAGGTTTTATTTATTTCATTTAAAGTGTGTTATTTATTTCATCAACACTGTGTTCACACACAGTGTTTCAACCGCCTCCCGCAGTGCCACATCCAACGCCCTGAAGACGACCTGCAAAGTGGGTCGAAACGTCGGCAAAAATTAAAATTATTTATATATTTTAATTTTTTTTATTTTTGACCGCACCCTCGACTAATTCCTTCTCATATCATATCAACGGTCAACCAACTCTACATCATTATATAATATTAGAGTTTTATTTCATTCAACATTTCTCTAATACAGTTGCTATATTGATAGGCCAAAATTAATTCCTTAAATGTTTTGTATTTTTTTTTCTTTTTAAAAAGTGGCAAGCGCCACTACAGATCGGCCGGCTGCCCCAACGGGCGCCCCAGTTGCTCCACTCTAAAGCCGGTACTGCAGACACCTTTTCATTAATAATTACTTAATAATACTATCATTACATTTTTTTTTTCAAATATGTCAGGAGTAGTTACCTAAAAAAAACCAAGATAGCATGAAGCAGGTAATTACTGATTGAAAGGAAGATTTAGGTTCTTCTTCATTATCATTTCTATTCCGAGCACGTTTTATTCTGTGTAATATTTGCAAAATTTGCTTGAGAACACCAACAAAACCTAGAAAATAAAGTACATCAAATATTACTAATAATTTACAAAATGTATAACCATACTTTTAACAAATATTACTGAATATTTGGGAAAAACTCTTGATTCTGAAACACATTCATGAAAAAATATGTTCATTTCCATCACATAACAATCCAGAGAAAAGAAAGTATTTATCCCTAAATGCTTCATACAAATCAACTTGTTGCTTCATATAACAATCCTGATTTGGAGGTTGCTAAAAAAATTGGGCTTAAAATAATAAAGAATTTTACTTTAATTTAATTGTTTTAATTAATGTATTTAAGTGCAATGTTGGTACTTAAATTCCAATTAAATTAATCTTAAAAAATTCCATCTGCAGATTCCATAAAAAAATCAGAAATCCAGAAGTAGTGGAGACCCATACGAAATAGATTTGTTTTGAATTATCTAAATAACAAAATTACTATCCAACTGTACACATATTAATGGCTAAATAATAGTATATGCCATGATGATAGAAGTAATGTATCAATTTTATTATTAAATGCAGGTATATACAATCAAAGCTCTTTATTTCCATGGCTCATGGTTCTGAAACATATGCATGAATTGTATTTTTAAAATAATATGGATTTATTAACCAGTTTCCAAATAAACAAGTATGAAAGTATGATATTGCTTGTTCAGCACTTTGAAGACCAACTGAATTCCTTAAACATGTTATATAATACATTAGTATAAATGACGTTATCTACGCTTTACGCTGTATCTACTAAAACTTTTTTTGGGGAGGCTTTAATTATTTGACATTTTGACAAAAGTATGCTTGGTACCACTTGCACTATTTTTTTTTTTTCAATGAAATAAATTTAAATATCTTTTGAATTCTTTGAGGAAGTCTTATAGTATCTATTTAATTAAATTATGACAACTAGACTTCCTTAAAATTTTAGTCCAAAACCAAATATCATTATTTTGTTAATGTTTTGTGGAAAATTCCCAATCTTTAGGACGTCTTAACAATATTCAATAATGAGACTCCTTTTCTTCATGTTATAGATTACAATTCCCAATTTTAATCATTTTATAGTTTATAAATCACAAGTTTAAAGAGTATTCTGTTTCATTGCTAAAAATTATTTAAAGGCTTTAGCAGCATGTTTTTATTTATAGAATAAAGAAGTCAGCGATATTTGCAATTAATAGATCTCTTTGATCTAATAGACAGGGCTGCAAGAATTATGATTTTGGTGGGAGTAGAGCCTACTCCCACGTATCTTCTCAGACTGGGAAATGAAATGTATTTTATTTCTGCATTCTGTGATAACAATATAAATCATTAATTAAAATGATCAAGAATTTGAAGTGACTTGAGAATACATGATTATTTTTTTGGGTGATACTGAACAAATGTCACTCCACGTTGTCCAGTAGGGCAAGATTCCTTGTTAGCTGTATAAATGGGGTTCTGAGAATTGACATATTCCCAATATAACCTCTCTTTATTTAGATCTTTTTTTGTTATCAATTTTGGAAAGGTGAACATTTCGATACAAAGGAATTACGTGAGGCTAAGAAAGGATGTTATTCTTTCTTTTTCCTGAAAAATCAAATATAACCTAAACTAACAAGAATATTAAGAAACGGAAGAACCAAAGCAAATGAATCGTAACCTAACCTAACATAAACATTGGTATTTTTGGTCACACTTGGCTGGTTCTGACATACCATGTAAAGTGTGAATGAAGGTTCACTTATCATCCTGACGTGATACTCTTGAACTAGGAGCAATAAAAGTTATAAATCACCAAGGGTCTGTTTACAATTACAATGAACTCCCATTTATAATTAAATGGGATCCTATAAAATTTGAATATTCATGATTATATATCACGTTTATAACTTACCTCCAACAAGCAAATAAATTGGAATAAAGACGTTAACTGGGCATTCATTTAAATAATGTAATCCAATGAGGAACATTGCTACTGGTACAAATATCATGACACCGATTGCTATGGTACAGCCAACTGGAAACAACAATGATTAAATTTGAGAATAAATTATCTACAACAGTACTAGACTCATAATAAATTTAACTTACTAGTACCAACAAGTAGAATAATTAGCTTTTTTAGAAAATCTATAGTTCCAGAAGACTGTTTGTGTACTTCTCTAACTCTGCCTATCACTGATTCATATGAAGGTGGAGGAGCTCCTAAAATTAGGGAAAAACTTGCTAAAGTATAATGAATTTCTTTACAAAGGAATGATTTAAAACAATAATGGAAACAAACAAACTGGATGGGTCCATCGCTTCTTCATATGTTGGTGGAGGGCCTCTTTCAGTAGCTTCCATTGTAAACTGGACTCTTTCCAATGAGTCGGGTACACTTGACTGTTGTTCTGATCTGTCAACTGGTTCATCCTTAAAAATTTGATAACATAACTTTTAAGACAAGATGAAACAAACATGAAAATTTACTTAACACAAAAACATTTACAATAATACAAACATTTAAGAGAATGATATATCATTAATTATCTTGTGAATAAAACGTTATACAAAAACTTAAATGACAGATACATACTACATTAATGTTACTTAAATAAACTGTGACATCTTTGGAGGCCATCTCTTGCCGTCATAAAACAGTTTGAAGGGAAAGAACTTGTTATTTCTAAAACATTATTAATCTTACAGAAATTCCATCATACTATATTAAATTTGGTACTTTCTAGATTCACTTCTAGTGCGCTTCCATTTTTCGAGGCCAGTTGATAACAAAGACAGAAATGTATTGGATGGGGACTTTTTTTTTTTTAAGTTGGTAGTGACACAGTTATCATCATGGCCGCCACGAGGCCGTTGTGCAATTATTTTCGATTTAAGCATGTAAATTTTAGTTTTTTGAATTTAAGCAACCAAGTACATATTCGTTTTATTCATAAGTGCTGTGATCCTAGATTAACGAGCAGTTTCCTGTTTCGTAAACCAAGAAAATATAACAATTGTCTTGTCGGTGAGTAAAAAGGAAGGTTACGATAGTAAAGAAAATATTCATAAAATTCATATATTTATATATGTGATAAAATGTCATTATTAAATTTCTATGAAAACTCCATTTTTTGACATTACATGATTTTTTTACTGTATTCCTGTGATGAAGTGATATTCAACATTCTTTGTTCTATTGGATTCCAAAATACAATAAATTAACTTTTTTTTTCTGGGAAGTTGTCAATTTATTTTAGTTATTTGGCAATAATAACTTCCAATTGGTAACAATTGAGTATATTTCTATTATCAACGTTACATGTTAAGTTAGTTGACGTTTCAGGATATTTATTCCCATCTTCGGAACTGCAATCCCAATACCCTTGTGGAAGCAAGGCTTAAAATTAATAATAATGTGCTCCATTGTCAAATTTCTAATTCATGTTCTAAAATGTATCAGATACCAATAATTGGGTATCTGCCACCCAGATGCAGATACCCAATTATTGGTCAAAAGGAGGATGTTGCTATAGATGGTACATTTTAGAAACTGAATTAGAAATTTGACGATGGAGCACATTATTATTAAATTTAAGCCTTGCATCCACAAGAGTATTGGGATTGCAGTTCCGAAGATGGGAATAAATATCCCTAAACGTCAACTAACTTGTTAACATGTAACGTTGATAATAGAAATATACTCAATTGTTACCAATTGGAAGTTATTATTGCCAAATAACTAAAATAAATTAACTTATTTGAAAAAAAAAAACTTATTCTCCAAAAAAAATTATTTGTCATTTTATATTGGGCTTTATCTAGAAGTGACTATTGATTAACTTGCCAGGATTAAAGATCATGTCCAATTCACTAGATTTGTTAAAGATTATAGATTATTTAAAAATAAGTTCATTAAAGAATAGTTTAACATTTAGCCGATGTATGATGACACCTGATCTTGTCCTTATTAAATCTTGTGAAATAGTTTTAACCTAGAAGTGGTATCTTACAAAGTACTGTAGTCAAGACCCTTCATTGGTTTTGGTACATACCGTGTTTTTTTTTTTTTCCTTAAAATTATTGATGTACGTTTTCTGACAAAACATAGTTTAATTACTAAGTTTTCAAGTGATCAGGTAATTTATTAGCACTTGATTTGTGTTGTAAAATTTTTAATGCCTGACTTTTTGTGATGACATCATTTAACTTAAACAAATATGTTTCAAATTACGTGAGTTCCTTCTCTGAATGAGTGTGTTCTTTAACTGGTATCTAATTGGAATAAAAATTCAGTTCTTATCCAATAAAACTGTTAGTGGTAACATAGTTTTTAAACTTTAAGTAGCATTTTTTCCTTTAACTATTTCAATATTAATTTGAGAATTTAAATTACAAGACTAAAATAGGATTGTGAAAAGTAAGTGAGAGAAGTAATGGTTTTTTCCTTAAATTTAGAATAAACCAAAATAATGAAAGAAGAAAACATACTGCTATACAAATTTCACTCCACTTTCATGGATGGCACAAGATCTAATGATCACATTATGAATACAATTGACAGAATGGCCAAGTGTGTCGAGAAGTGACAGGACCCTTTTATAAGGCATGACTTCCACTGAAAAGGACCCTGTTTGTTTATACCTTTTGAGAGAGTGGAAATTGACAGCAGCAATTTATTAAAGCTTATTGAGGTGTTGACATGGAAAAGGCAGTAAGTCATAAGTCAATTTTACTTCATTCTCCCTTCCCCTGTTATTATCAGTCCCCTCTACCACCGTTCATAGAATATAAACCACTTCCAGTTTTGACTTACTCCTCTTTCTGTGCCATTGGCATGACTAATTACAGCTTTTCTATGAAAAGACTAAAAAAAATTTTTTTTCTTAGTTAGTACCTTTCTCATGTCAACACCTCAATTAAGGCCCTCTTATAAATATTAGGGAGTTTGCTAAAGTAGTAAATCAATATGTAAATAAAAGGAAATTGTAGTGTGAACATGTTAACAATCCTTGACCATTCTCAGAATCCCATTTACAGTGTGATCATGAGATTTTGACAAAGTGGAGTGACATTTGTACTATATTATGGAAGAAAATACTTCCAAACTCAAAATGACAAATTAAAACAGGGTGCTACTTAACAGCAATTGCTTCACTTTGAAGGGTGGCCCAAGATCACATGATCACACTATAAATGAATTTCCATGAATGGCCGATTATTGACATTGTGTTCATAGTATAACCTTTCTCTCTTAAGATCGTATTTTTTTACTACTGAAAATCCCAAATGGTCGATTTCATTTGAAATTTTGGCCTTAATCAGCTTGTATTATTGCATTGTAGCATCTAATTTCTGCTTGCGACGCTTGCTCAAATGGAATAAACTAACACCAATGGATCCCTTCAGTTGCGGTCTTTATCAGAAGGTTCAGTCACCTTTGTTTACTTTCGGACATTCTTCCATTCTTAGAATTCCTATTGAATAGTTCAATTAAACAGCAGACATAAATAAAGATAGTAAGCTGAATATAGACGTGTTAAGTAAATTGAGAAATAGCAACATTCAGAGGTTGAAATGAAGTTATATCCATTGGATCCATCAACCACAATAGCTGATGGAACCAATAAGACCTCAGTAGTTCAATTGATTATTAGAAAGATATACTAATTTTCCTCGGTGAGTTTAGTGATGGATAGACAATGCAACTGATGAGCTCAGCACAAATAAATATTGTTTATAATTCAAATATATTCGGAAGATGAAGGATGAAAAACAAATGCAAGAGTTTTACTATTGATAATTGTAGTATTTCATAAATAAAATTATTCTTTAAATTAGTTAGACTATAAACATGATAGCTGTCACAGTCTAATTTTCTGTTGTACATTTTTAAATGTGAATTTTTTTATTATAGCTTTTTTAGCCCATTCTACAGATGGTGGTAATTCCAAAAGTTTTCATACCAGCCGACCCTTATCAAAGAGAGATTATTATGAAATATTAGGAATAAGTAGGAATAGCGCTGCCAAAGACATAAAAAAAGCTTATTACCAGTTGGCTAAGAAGTATCATCCAGACACTAATAAGAATGATCCAAATGCTGCCAAAAAGTTTCAAGAAGTTTCTGAGGCTTATGAGGTATGTTTATTTCATCAATGTAGTTAAAATGATTATTTATCTGGTTATCTAAATTTGAAGTGATATTTTGTATTTTTGTTTGGGCCTTCATTTTATTAATCTATTAGATTGTTGGCTTGTTGTATGATGATAACCATTGAAACTTAAAAGCATCCTCATTAAGACCATGTCATCAAATGGATGAAATCTTCTGCAATAGAAATATGATGGGGTTGAATAGTTGAATCATTGAAGTAAATAGAGGATTCCTCATGTTTCGGTGTGACAGACCGTCCTCAGACTGAGATGTGACAATCTTTTACACTATTATTTGTTTCGAAGGTTTTCCTTATATTGGATTTTTTTGGTGAAGTTTTCTCCTTTCATCGTCTTTTCATAAAATTCCTGAGAGTCATTTTTTGTTTGTTTAACTCAAGTAAAACCCTTGATATTATTTGTATTGTGCATTTCTTGTTTGTTTTGATTTGTTTGGCAAGTTGCCTCAAGAATTTGTTTTCCTTTCTGTAGTCTTTTGTTGCTTATTATAAGAGCATCTTAATTTAGTCAAACCTTTGCTTAACAATGTTTTAATTGTTTAAATAATTGCTCAATGGTGGTGGCCCACATCAAGAACAATTTTAATGACCGAAAAAAACAAAGCATACTATTTATTTATTCATTTCATTAAAAAAAACGTGGAAAACAGATTGCATTAAATAATAACCTCTTAAATATAACAATATAAATAGAAATAACCCAAATTTTTTAGATTTTTAACCTTCTAAAATTCAAAATAATCTTAAAATGTTGTCCAGTCTCATGTCTTGCAGACATTTTCATACAACCAGATCAAAGAAACATTAAAAATCAGCACAGTGGCCACAAGTGAAAATATGTTTTTATTGAATTTTCATATTATTCAAATGTTGAACTTAAAAGTTTGAGAGGGGCTTGACTTTTTTTGTTGTTCACAAAGGTTAACTTAAATAAATTTAATATTTTCAAAATTAATTTTTTCCTTATACCATCTAATTTTATGTACAGATAGTGCATTGAAAAAAGAAATTAAAACAATAATTTCACATTTATTTAAAAGTTTGTGCAGTAAGGACAAGTTCCTAAACTCAGCAATGGATTCATTGATGGGCATCAGAAATTTATCAGGTCGTTCCTAAACTCATTATTCATTAATTGAATCACAGATGGCTCTGCGCCTTCATTGGCTTTTCAGGTTCGATTGATCTGTTGAATGTAACCTCATGGCCTGAGTGTTGTTCCTTTCTCAATTTACATTGTATATTTTATTCAATATACTTTCTATCCATATTTATTTTTGTTTTGAAATTATAAATGTCGTTAGGTATTTCCTTATGTTTTATTTTTATTTTTGATGTGTTTTGTAACTTTTCAGGAGTTTAACTTTTTGCTGGAATTCAACAGTTGTTCTTAAACTTATCTTGATACGGTTTTCACCATTAGTTCTAAGAGTATTTTAATTTCACTAACCCAAATTATTATATTAGCGCACTGAAAATTTCTTAAAGATGAATCTAGATATTGTGTATATATTTATTTATTTTACATTTTTATCACATTGGAACTCTTTATTTCAATTTTACAAACGTCGGCATATGTAAAAAAATAAATATTATAATTTATTTTTGCCTTCCTTTTTGACTGAACACCCCAACTGTTCTTCTCTTCATTATCCACGACAGTCAACCAATTACCAATTATAATTTTAATATCATAAAGTTGGAAACTTATATTACAATATATCAAATGAAATGAATAGATATCAGAAGAACCAATTAGATAAAATTATAACTTAAATGATTATTAGTCTAACCTTACTATTTCATTTTACTTTTATTTCTTTTTCACCTTTAATATAAGAAATAACTCAGTTTGTCTACATTAATTATTTTGTTATTCCAAAATTCTACTCATTTAAAAAGAAATTAAACATATAACTTATGATTATGCAAATGTACCAAATCATTAATATTTGAGTTGTACATGCTTTAACTACCCATTTACTTAGAGTAAATTCAGTCTGATACATTTGAAAATATTTCTTCATTCTTAGCAGCTATAATTCTATTTCAGCTCTCTCAATAAGATTTTTAACTCTAATTTTGCTTGCATATTCTCTTTTCTCATTAAGAAGTGATAATTTTATTTTCTTTACTATTTTAAACTTTTCATTTCATTATCCTAAATCATAATAAAATTAGAACTGATTAAATAAAGGAATATGTGGTCCTTATCAGCATAATCTTGTTTGTTAATAATTTCATTAATTTTTATAAACTCTTTCTGTCAGTAGGGGATTCAGAATTTAATTTTGAGAAGCCCTTTATTTTTTTTATAATGGTAATTACTTTGAAAGAAAAAGAAAGAAATTGTAAGAAATAATGAACTTCGTGAATTTAATAAACTTTTTATATTCTTTTCTTGACACGTGTATGCATTGAATAGCTGTATATGTGTTATAACAAAAAGGAGCATATCGTTATTATTTAAGTCTTTAGTTCAGACCTTACAGAAATCTCACAGAAACAAATATGGGCCATTGAAAAACAAAATTGGGTCAGCCTAGCTACAAAATATTACAATGGCCTGGAGTACTATGTCATGAATTTATCTTTAAAGTCTATTTTTCTAGCAAAATGTTTGCATTGAAAATAAGCTAAACAATTTAGTTTACATATGTCGACTAATTAAATTGATGAAATTGAACCTTTATGATGAAAAATTGTTATATAAAGTAAAGATAAATTATTTTTCCAACAATTAAAAACTCTATTCAACATTATCAAACGATAGAAAGGATTAGAGCCAACAAATTTGAGAACTCGGTGCCCTTAAAGGCAAACTCATCGTAGATGCTCTATACTGCTCTATTAAAAGTTACAGTTTCAGTTGTGTCAATCTTCTTCCAAGCTAGCGATAGTGTTAAGTAGCTTAAGATTTAGCATGATTTAATTGTTTATTTTCTCATTCTAGGTTTTAAGTGATGAAAACAAAAGGAAACAGTATGATCAGTGGGGCACAACTTCTGAACAAATGGGAATGGGTGGTGGTGGAGGGCCTCGTGGAGATATGGGTGGATTTAATTGGCAGTACCGAGCAACTATTGATCCCCAGGAACTCTTCAGAAAAATATTTGGAGAAACACCTTTTGGAGGAGGGCTTGGATTTGATGATTTTGCTGAGTCAAAATTTGGTTTTGGATCAGCAGAAGAGGTATGGTTTTATTTTTGATTAGTTAAATTTTTTTTTCTACTTATAAGTCATTTTGATGGCAAGAATGATTTTAATGTTAAATTTATTGATTCAGGTTCTGTGTTAAGGCTCATTTAGAGAGCAGACAAATTAAAATTTAAATATTTGCAACAATGTTAAGAGGCTTTAGCCTTAAAATATTTATGGATCTATAGTATTCACATTAACATACTGAGCAAGCTAATGCCTGTGTATAGCACCATCAAAAATAATTTGATAAAATAATCATGAGTTCTGGTTCTGGTGCCCTGGATGGAGGGGCTTTTAACTATGGTATTAATCTCCCACCCTCACCCCTTGGCCTGGGAAAACCAAGTATAACCTAACAGGCAAGAAAAGGGAGGACAAAAAAAAAGTATTAACATTGATAAATAACTATTTGTAAATCTCAGTATAATTTTATTTACTAATAAATAGCAGCTTAGAGAGTTTTCCTTGCTAGATTCTATGCAATTATTATAGAGTTAAACAAAAATCTCAGGCCAGTGTTATAGGTTCCCATTCCTTCCTTAGCTCCATTGTCGCATTTTCTACTTTAGTTCTGAATTATAATCCTATCACTTTCGCCCCTTATGTTAAAAACTTTGGTGTTACTATTGACCAAAACTTATCCTTATATCGTCAACATTTCCCAACGGTCAATAGGTTCACTCTTGTTATTCCATTGATAATTCCTACATCATCTTCCACAATCTGTACACAAGTTCCTTGTATCCTCACTCATTTTCTCCCACTTTGAATATGGCTATGTGGATTATGGTGGCCTCTTGATGGTACTCGAAAGAAGATTGAAGCGACTCATGAACTGCTCACTAAGATTGGTTTCTGGTACATCAAGCAAGTCTCATTTGTTTCATCTCTATGGTGAGTTTAAGTGGCCCTTTCTCCCTCCGACAGTATTTCCTATGATCCTTTTCATACCAAACTATCAACTCTCAGCATCCTTCCTACATCAATAGTCTTCTACAGTTCAGACCTGTGGTCCGTTCTCAGAAAATAAGATTTTTTATTTCTGACTTTAATACTCCTTCCCACAGAACTGAAACCTTCAAAAATTATTTTCTTGTCCACTCCACTGCTTTCTGGAATTTCCTACCATCTAATAACCATGCTGCTTCCTTTTCTTCATTCAAATCCCTCCTGTTCCATTTCCTTCTTACATGTAAAACAGACGCTCTCCAATCTTAAAATGTTAATTTAAGAATAAATTGCTTATTTGAATTAAATAATAGTCTTTAATAGTTAAGTTTTAATTCTCTAATCATTTCATAGTTTTTTCTTTCGTTTAATTTTATTTATATATATTTTTTTCTTTTCTCAAGATGGCTTTTTTTTGTGTACATATTTTGAATGTTGAGAATGTATATATCTACTATTTAAATCTTGTTTATGTTTTTGGCTAATAGTATTCTTTTTATTAATTGCACATTCTTGAGGGATTTGATCCTAGAATAAATTTTGTTTTCTAGTCTATTCTATTCTAATAATAGGATTTATTTTTTGTGGAATTCCTATATAAAAATTACCAATTGGGACTTACTGATTTGTCCTATTGGCTGTGTTAACTGGTGGTAGCATTAATTAAATCTTTTCTACTTATTAAGTATATTAATTAATTAAAAATTATGAATAATAATATATTGATATTTAATACAAGATTATATTAAATCTTAGTTTACCGTCACAGAAATTCTATGGTAGGTCAGGTTAACTGCCACATGTAAGTGCCTTAACTGTGAACTGATTATATTCATTGTTTTTATATTATTGAATTCCTTCTGGACGAATAAAATTTATTCAATAATTAATAAGATTTTAAAATATGTGTTATTGTTAAAAATCTAAATAGAATTTTTACATTTATAATAAATTAAATGGATTTTATTTGTTCATAAAGTATTCAATAACTCAAAACCCTAGGATAAAATAAATTTTGAGTTCACAAAGTTTTTAGCAATGATTTTGAGAACAGTGTTTTCCTTTCCGTTCAATAACAATTATATTTGATAAAGTGGCAGTTCACTATTTATAAGTTTCATAATTTTTCACTCTGTCCTTTTTATAATATTCTGCTTTAAATTTTGCCAAATAATTTTGATAATTAAAAAAAAAAAAAAAATATAAAAGGATAAGTTTTTAAGATTGAAATTATTTCAGCAAGTAGTGCACCAATAGAATTGTGTGTTGCCAAATATTGCCTCATTTTATGCTAATTTTCATTTTATAGTTCTGACTTTTTTTAATCATTTCCCTCCCTACTTAAGAGATGTTTTGTGAGGACAAAAAATGTAGAGGAAATCATCATAATTTTAGATTTTGTTCAGTTATCTTCAAATGGATTGACCCGTTCTTAATGAACTTTACGAGTTTAAGAAAATTGAAACTTACATTTTTTGGCACTACAATACCTTTACCATTTGAAATATCCAAATGATAATATCTATAGCTCAAACCATTTTTAACTCATCAAGAGTTAACAAAGTGATGTACAAATATCTGAAATTATTATTTACAATTGCTTATTGATTTTAGGTTATATTAAAACTTACTTTTTCTCAAGCTGCTAGAGGTGTTAATAAAGATATATTGGTGAACGTTGTAGAAGTTTGTTCAAAATGTCATGGCAGTCGTTCAGAACCTGGTACAAGACCAGTTCGTTGTACCTACTGTAATGGAACTGGTTTCGAAACAATATCAACTGGTAAATAGGAAGTTCTTCCTTCAGTCTTACATATGTTAGTTTTAATTAATGGTTTTTCATCATCCTTGAGTGTTGAATTGTGATTTTGTTGGTTTTTAAGTAGTGGTTAAGATATATTTATCTTTATAGTGTAGAAACCATTTTTTGATGACCTCTTTGTTATTATAGGCCCTTTTATGATGAGGTCAACTTGTAGATATTGCCATGGGACAAAAATGATGATCAAGTTTCCTTGTACCGAATGTGAAGGAAAAGGTAGCACAGTGCAAAGGAAGAAAATAACCATCCCTGTACCAGCTGGTTGGTTAATAAATACAATTATTTTGTTACTTAGAATAAATACAATGTATCTTTTATTTTGTTATTTGAAATCTAAATACTAATTTTATTATTACATTATTTTGTTTCTAGGAGTTGAAGATGGGCAAACTATAAGAATGTCAGTTGGACAAAAAGAATTGTTCGTCACTTTCCAAGTTGAAAAGTCTGATTATTTTAGAAGAGATGAAGCTGATGTTCATACAGATGCAGAAGTTTCATTATCGCAAGCGTTGCTTGGAGGTACAATAAAAATACAAGGTGTTTATGAAGATCATTTCATTCAGGTAAGTATATATTTTTCTTTCTTAAAATTTAATCAATGGAATACTGATTATTAATTTTTTTTTTAGATTTCACCTGGGACTGGTTCCCATACCCGAATTCGTCTTGGTGGTAAAGGTTTAAAACGTCCATCTGGAGGAAGTGGGGATCATTATGTTCACATAAAAATTAATGTCCCAAAACATCTTTCAGAAAAACAAAAGTCACTTGTAGAATCGTATGCTAGGCTGGAAGAAGGTACTCCTGGTACAATTAGGGGAATTTCTGACAAAGTCAATGGAAAAGCTTCAGGTATTAATGTTTTATTATCATAATGTGAATTATTACTGATCATTAATTTTATTTTATTTATTAAAAAATCTGTACTAATTATTATTAATTTTATTTTGAAAATCTTATTCTCCTAGCAATCATTTATCCTTTCTACTTAACATTAACTATGGTCATTATCGATTTGTAATGTTGTACTCCAACGGTTAATAATTGCATGTTGATTTTATCTCACACATTTTGTTTTCAGTTTGTGAAATTCTGACTGAATAACTTTGTGTTATTTAAATGGATTAAGACAATTGATGCAATAATCTTTGGGGATAGGCTTCATTGAAGAGCTTGATCTTAAAAATAAACAGTTGGCGATTGGGCTAAATAACTTTTGCGACCCTCTTCCTGAATTCCTTTTAAAAATATACTGACTCTTTAAATTGATTTTTATTTTATTTTTGATAGATAATTTTAGCGGCATCACATATTCCAGATTATAAAAATATATATTTTTAACAATGTATTGGTATTTCTGAAGAGCAAGCATGCCTTGCATATAAGGCAATGAACAAAATCTGGGCTCAGGTTTCAGGATTCAAGATATTTTACTAGAGAAGATCCAATATTTAAAAAAAATGGGAAGGAATTCGTTTAATGGTTTGAGGGGGGAATGACAATGAACTTGTTTGTTGAATGGGACACTGAACATATCACCTCCTAAAGTGGCTGTTCCGGGTAACAGAACTTTTATTTAATTTTAAGAATCAGCAATGAATACTATTTAGCAGGTATTGTTTTTATTTTTCAGTAAAAAAAAATGTTTCATGTTTTTTTGTAAAATTGGTAGATATTTATGTTTTGTTGAAAATTATTACAAAAGTTTTCATCAAATTAAATTTTGGAGAAGATGGAAATAATATTTTGAACAATTTCTGTGACAAAACCTTTTATGTTTTCTTGCTAGGAATTTTTTTTTCGAAACTCTTTATGTTCTTTACTTTTAATTATTTAGATAAGTTTGACTGATAGTACTTAGAAGATAATGGTTTGGAATGTGAGATAGTGTGAAGTAAAACAAGAACAGATAAATCTTTATTGTTTATAAGCCAACAATTCAGCCTTTGTTGTGGACCTTTTTCTTGGGTTTAAAAACATGATATGATAATAATACTTATACCAAAATTAAATGGGATAATATTAAAATTATCTATTTTGTCTTATTTCCAAAATTTTCTATTTTATTATAGTTCTAAAACTAAAATTGAATATTGTAAAAGAAGGGCACTTTTACACCTTTGGGGCTAACACTTCTAAAATTAGAGTCATTTCTTTGTTTCCAACCTTAAAAACAACTTATGGATTTATAGAGATCTAACTTCTAGTTTAATAAAGAAGTCATTCCCAAACTTTTCATCACATTAGTTTTTGTTAAAGTCATTAAAAAAAAATATTTTTGGAGTAAGGCTATCTTCCTTTAAAGTTTCACATTTCAGAATACCTAAAAAGAAAAATTATAAACATATAAAACTGGATAAAGTTGAAATCATTAAAATATTACAAGTAAGTGATAACAAGGGGAGGAGGACTATAGAGGTGAATGGGAACAAAACAGAGCATCGTATAAAATAAAATAAAAACAGCGTTATAAATAGTAAGCAGTCAAGGAGAGATTAAAAATTAGGAGATAATAAAAATCTGGTGGGGCGCGTGCATCACAACTATCACTTACCAACCTTACAGTAAATAGGTATTTTCATACCTAAGGAAGTAAAAGTGAAAATGATGGTATAACTTCATTTAAAACAATTAATTACATTGTTTTTTTCCGCTCATCAAATCTTTTAAATTAATATGTTTGTATCGCTTTCCATTTCCTTCTACAACTGTATATATAGGTAAGTGAAAGTAAAATACAATAGAAAACAGTGTAAAATAAAAAAAAAAAAAAAAAAACAGCAATATAAATAAGACTCAGAGGATCCTGAAATATTTAAATTAAGTGAGACCTCAAAAGTTGATAGTTGCCAATATTATACAAATTAAATAAATTCACAGAAAAAAAAACTTTTTTTTTTATAACTAACAGATTTCTGTGATTAATAATATATGTAGTATAGATATGATGATTGGAGAAATAAAATCAGCCAAGTTATCAGGTTGGAGGTATTGGCAGTGATGACAAGGAGCGCCAGGCGCTAGCGTGGATAGGCAGGCTTCTTCGCTGGCATTAATAAATAAGCTGCATAACTATTTATAACTGGCTATAATGCATGGTAAACTATCACACACAGAACCTGCATACAAAATAAACAAGTGAACTAATGAATAAAAACTTATTTTAATCATTAATCGTCTAATAATGCAATTTATAAATTAAAATGCAGTTCAATGTTGTCATGCAACTTGTCTATTTCTAAGATACTTGAGAGGAGGAGATGTAATGATTGCATTACTTTGCAACTTATTTATTAATCCTGCAAAAGCACTCTGCCTGTCCACACTAGCCCCTGCTCCTCCTTGTCATCTTCTTGCCCTGCCTGATATTCGAGGTTAACCTATCACTTAAGTGAGCTGCCAATACCTCCAACCTGATAACTTGACAGATCTTGTATCTTCATGGAGATCAGGGTGTCCCGTGAGTAGAGGAAAATATTTAAAAGGTTGGTAGAAGACATGAAGATCTACAAAAAAGTTCATATAAACAATTGCCCAATTTCCAGCAGAAAAGTAGAAAATTTAAGATTTATGGTTTCTAAAGCGAATTATGTTTTTTATTGAATAGGAAGTGATAACATAAAAAATATTTGATTTAAGTAATTAAACATTGCTCGATAGTAAACTAGACACAATTAAATTCAAAATAAATTGAGTTTGCCATTGTTGAAACTAAAGAGCATTATTGAGTGGACAAACACAATTAACTTTCGTTTTTAAAAATTCATTAATTGTGATTTTTTTTATCACCCTTCAACTGTACTACATTTACCCCACTTTTAGAAAAACTGCTCTGTTTAGTAAGCTTAAAGTACATATTAATTAAGTTGAGGTTTATGAAAAATTTTGAGATTTACCTCAAGTTATGTAAAGAAATAATGTGATTTTCTATCTAGTTACTTAAAAATACTCCTGTTTTCAGTAAAAATGACTACAATCAACTGTTGCATAGCATTTATTTATTGTTATTCCGTGTTGTACACCACAATTATGGATTAATATCCAGACCAATCTTGGCGAGGATCCTCTGTACACAGTTAATTATCCTCTGCAGCACCCATGTCACGTTTTGAGAGCCTGTTCATCCACAAAACCTGTGAGGACCACACATTCTTGGTCGCTGGTTAGCTTGTATCCATATTGATTGGAAAAGTCTTGCTCACACAGGTTGTGGTATAGATGGTCTATAGCCAGGTTGAACAGTGAATGCGACAAGGCTCCACCTTGGGGTACTCCTTGCCGCACTTTGATCCAGCTCGTCGAGTGGGCTCCTACTCCAATCTTAATTAAGTTAGTACCCAGGAGAGCTGCAATCACATCTTTCAAGTCTGGTGAGACCTCTCTTGCCTCCAGTGAGCTGATGATAAGGTCGTGACCAACGTTGTCAAAAGGGCCAACAACATCTAGAAGCACCACCAATAAAAAAAACACGCTATCATTCTTTTTACATTTAGCATCCTTTATGATCACGTTGATGATTCTTGCGCTGATATATGTTCCTGGCTGGCCTCTGATGTTTGCTGAAGGTGATCTGTTTTCTCAACAAATTTTTGGTCCAGAACCTTTTCAATGATTCGGCGCACAATCGAATAAATCGTAATGGGTCGCCATGATAATATGCTGTTGACATCACCCTTTCACTTGTAGACCAAGATTGTGCACCCTTGATGGTGAGGCTCTGGTACACAAGCCACTCTCATGATCTCTGCAATTATCTTAATTTTATGAGAAATATCCCTTAAGAAATACCCTAACTTTATTGTGCAGATCAGAACTGCGTTCGGTCCTGGCGATGTTGACTAATTGGTTTTTTTACTTATCGGACGTCAGATTTGGCATCAGGCACAATTTTCGTAATCCACACATTTGCAGAGATTTTTCTTTTCAAAGAGGCTTCTGAAGTGGCCTTTAATCTCGGCTATCTTCAGTGGGCACTGTTTAGGAGCGTCAGCGTTAATTATATTTTGAACTACTTTTCTTCTCCTGTTATAACAGTTATATTGAGCCACCTCATATTGGTATTGCTCCTGCCAATGACTCATATCTGCCTTGTTAACCCTCTGTGGATTCGACACTTTTCTAGCACGCTTTCCTGCTATATCAGTCTTATTTTTATTTCTTAACTTAAGAGCAGGGTGTGTTGGGCCAGGCAATTCATTATTTGCATTTTTCATAAATTTTAAAAAATTGTCTACTGCTTCGTCGTTTGTCACTTTGTTGTTGATCCCTGAGGACTGGTCTTGTTTTCTTTTCTTTTATTCCACTGCTAGGCTCTCCGGACGTCTGCGGTAAATTAGGCAAACTTGGAAATACATCTTTTATTGAAACTACTTTGCCCAATACTTGGCCTTCTTTGTCCTGCCACTCTACCTTGACGAACGTTTTATCGTCACCTCCTGCTGCGGCCACAGACATCACAGAGGCCACCACTGCTTCTTAAGCTGGGCCCTCTGATCTCTGAACCCATACTCTCTGATCTACATCAACTCTTTTAGAGTTATATAGATCCAAGCCCATATCTTTTTATCATCACACCAGTATATCAATATATAATCATACAAATAGGTTAAAATTATGTCTATAAAAAATATATACCCAGATAAATGTATGTTTGTAAATTAAAATTAAATAAATATATTAAAAATAAATACAAAGGTTAAATAATGTCAGCAGGTTAAAATTCAATAAATAAGTTAAGAATATATACTTGGATTAATTAATGTGAATGAGTTAAAATTATATAAATAGTTTAAAAATATAAACACAGATCAAATAGTGTCAATAGGCTAAAATTAAATAAATAGATCAAAAATATAAAAAAATTATACATGAATTAATTAAAGTTCAAATTACATTAATAGTTTAAAAATTAAAATACAGATCTAATAGTGTCAGTAAGCTAAAATTAAATAAATAGATTAAAAATATTTAAAATAATAGATTTAAAGTATCTAAAATATTTTCGATTCTAATAGAAAAATGAACGCCATCTTTTCTAAATGGAAATGTAATTTGTTTTTCTGATAGTTGTCTTGTTTGATTTTTTATCCACCCAGAGACTTATAAAATGAGAAATTCAAGTTTCCCATTGAAATGAAAATTTATTTCACCCTAAGAAAGGAGGGAAAATTGTTTTCAGTCGTTTTCCAGGTAACCTTACTATAGTCTCCCCGCTAGTTTACTTAAATAATTAAAATTATAACATGGTTTGTATACAACATTACTTTAAAATTGTAGTGCACATCTAAAAACTAGATACTTTATTTATTTTAAAAATAAGTTATAACTATGATTTTTATTATCAAAAATCAAAAGGGGACTAACTTCATTTTTGTATTTTTTTTATAAAGTCCTAATAACATAATAGGACTAACTTACAAAGGCTGATCTGCTACTCAGACTGTTAAAATCATACAACATAATGGTATAAATTCAACAATATCTAGTAAAATGGAAAACTAAAAAAATAATAACTAAGAATCTCAGGTTAACATGTGGGAAATGCAGATTGGCCCTTCTTTGCAAAACACAGTCGATGTGATGGATGATCTATAATTATGTCAACTCTTTTGAAAGTCCCCAATGTGTTGGTTGGGTAGTTTATTTAATTATTTATTATGAATAAAATTTTGTTGCCTACAATATCTTTTGATAAGCAAATGCTATTTAAGTTAGATGATCATTTCTAAACAGAAAATGAAAAATTAGTTCCCTGAAGAGACCCAGAATGAAGTAATTTGTCATTAGTCATTAATATTTTGGAGTAATTATTTGGTGTTTTCATTTATATTGTTGAGAGGTAATGATGCTCTAGTATCTGTCAGATTTTTTCTATTAACAAGAATAAAATAATTATTTGCTTGTATTTTAATATATTTCTTTAAAATATATTTTAACTATAAGTTAAAATTAAAAATTCAATGAAATTTCTATTGGACAGTTGATCCAGATTTTGGTCATATCTGTAAAAATGCACTTTTTATATCTAAGCCCCTCTATAATTGAATCTCCTGAATATATATTCTTATATCCTTAATAAATTATACGCGTATATATTTGAAAAAAGACTAAAATGCTTTTCCTTTTATCTAAGCCCGTTAACAAATGCCTGAGATTGTTGCTCTATACAAAGTTATAAAGGGGGTTGTTTTAATAGGAAGTTTTTATGTTATTGAAAATATGAATTTTTTTAATAATTTACCAAGATATGTGTTCATAAGATAATATCTAAACTATTTTAAATGGGTTTCAAGTAGTTGAGGATTGGAAAGAAATGCAGTGTAGAAGGCTATGCTTTAAAATTTAAGTATTACAGTTTTAAGCATGATTTTTTAATTTAAAAAAAATATGCTAATTTAAAGATTGATTTGTTTTACAAATGTTGTATGTATATTTATGCATTCAAATTTAATATTTTTAAAATTAGCAATCATATTTAGTCAACTGCATCCTCTACTGTAGTTGATTACATAAAAGTTTACTTTTAAATTATGAAAAAATAAATGAATTGTTTAAAAGGAATTATCAATATTTAGGTTTTAACTTATTAAAAATTTAATTTTTATATTACTGATTTGCCACTTTTTATGATTAATTATTATTTTTTTAAATTAGCTATTCGTGTAAGGAGGAAGCATAAAAATGAAGATTTAAATGATGAAGATAAGAATAAAGACTCCTTAGCCATAAAAGCTTAAATACACAAATACCATACCTTAGTAGTTTTTTATAGTGTGACATCTTTAGGTCTATCAATCTTCTACAGATTTACTTTTTAGTTATAATTATCAAAAACAAATAAACAATAGTAATTATATTAATAGTAAACTAATGTTGAAGCCTAACAACATATGTCAAATTTAAATAGATAATAGATAAATTATAAATTAGTTGTTATTGAATTAGGAATCAATTTTTTATAATCAACAAATGTTTAAATAAATATTTATTTTTTACTGTATACCATCCTTTTCCATATATCCCGCCATTGACTGATTTTCTATTTTCAACAGTAGATGATTTTCTGTTGTTATTTTCTTATATTTTTTTTCAAAACCACAGTTAACTGAAAACTGATGTCCTGATTTGTTTTATAGACTCACAAGAACAGCCAATGGCGGGATCAGAAGTTAAGACAAAACCAAAACCTGGAATTTTAGCAAAATTAAAAAATGCCATATTTGGTTAAACAGCTTACCTTTAAATATGCACTGTAAGTTATTACTATTTTTTTCTACCATGCTAAGCTTTTTTTGTTGTAATAAACAATAAATAGTAAATATTTGTTTAGCACTTTTGTAATTATTTTCTTACGACAGTCAAGCACTAACATCTGATAAATAACAAATTAGAAACTATAAGCATTCATTTAGTTTAATAATAAAAAAATCATCACAAAGCTTTCATTAGATATTGCAGTTTTGTCTCCTATAATTTTTAGTTTTACTGCATATGTAATACTTAAATGATTCCTGTTAAGAATACTGAAGAAAGTCTTAAAGTTAGTCAAAGATAATATATTATATTGTTACTATTCTTTAATGATCAATATTTGGTTTTCTGACATTTAATGTTAAATGTGTGATATAAGCATAGTCACCAATATATAAAGAATAATACAGAATGAATGTTCTATTGTCCCAATGGGAACAGTTAAAATGTTATATTATTGTCTATGAAATGTTTTTGTGTATATATGTATTTATATATCCCATTCATCACTGCTGGAATAGGGTTTATCAATCTCTATCATAAATAGGATATAATTCAGTAACATATTTAAAAAACATACATTTTAAGAAAATTAGCGAACAAATGGATTGTAACTTTGCCTTTGAAAAATATCAGATTGTATTCATAAAGTGAGGTTTATTATCCTATAATCTGAATCATACATCTTTGTCTATGTCTAAAATTTAATAGTTTTTGAAATGATCAAATATTTTTGAATATAATGTAGAAAACGTATGATAAACATTTTGAAACAATGTTGGTTCTACAAAAATAAATTAAATGTTTATTGCCCTACTTTAATTGTGTCCATACTTAACCCCTCTCCCATTTGTGAATGTAATAAAAATTTAGTGAATATTTCTTGGAAAATATATAATACCTATATATTTTAGATCGAAATCATTGGAATAATGATTTTTTTTTTTTTTTTTTTTTTGTTAATTTTCACTGTGATTATATGATAGTTATTGATTGTATCGAAAAAAAACAAAATAATTTTATTTTTAGTTGTATTAATTTTAAATAATAAAAGATACAGGTTACATCACATTTTTATAAAATACGTAATGTTATATAGCTTGTTTTTTTTTTTTTTTTTTCTTATATAATTCTATTATTTTTTTTCTATTTACTGAAATAAGTTAAAAAAATTAAGATCATATACTTTTTAAAAAAAAAATCTGTATTACAAAAACTAAAATATTACCTGAACTTTCTGCATCAATATAAGTAGTTATTTTATGAAAAATTTGGACATTAGTTAAGTAAATATTAAATTGATACTAGGCTAATCATTAAAAAAAAAAACTTACTTATTGTTGTCTATAAGATATAAATGAATTATCGAACCTGGATAATAATATTCCATTTGCAATTTTTATATTTGATAAATCAAATAATGTTGTTTATCTGTTGAGTGACTCTGTTTATATCTTTGTGTTATAACAATATTCAATGTTGCATATTTCGATATCTCCATTTTTTGTTCCAGGCAGAAAAAAATACTAGACTTGAAAACATAGGTCAATCTTATTTATTCATGACACCTCGGAAGTTCAAACATTAGACCTATTAAATGTCAAATGTAAGCAGAAATTTAAATGTCTTTTATCTACTAAACAAACTGTTCCTTATTGATATTTTCACATAAAGGTATTTTTATAATTTTTCTTTTCTTTTTGTTGAATTTTTAAAAATTTAAATATGGCAAAATTTGAAAACTTGCCAAATTATAATTTTTTTATGTAAAAAAATATAAGTTATGCATTATGCAATAATGATATCTTGTTACCAAAATGTGTTAAATTTCTTATAATTTCGTAGTTGTTTTGTAATAAATATATTTTATAAAATAAGCTTTATTATAAAATTTGTTCCCTTTATATTTAGTGTTTATTATTAGAAATTATCATATACTTTTTCGTATTATTTAAAAATAATTTTCTAACATATCTGAATTTCCTTTACTTCATTGATATTGAAATTTAAAGATTCTAATAATAATATTCTTTTCATATTTTTAAAGTTTACATATTTATGTGCATTTATTATATTTAGATTGTACAAAAATAATTGCTGGTTTAGTCTTTAAAAAAAAATTACAAAACTTACTTATTCATTACCACTTAAAATTGTAGTTCAATTGTAAAATAACTCTTAAAATTTTGTTTAAAATAATTACATGAGTATGTATTTTTTTTCATTTATAAAAATAATTGACATGAATACTAAATTAAAATAATTGAATGAAAGATCGTTGGTAAAAGATTTTTTTTATGATGGGGAAAAAATCTTAACTTTTCCCAACTCAATAGTTAAAACAAAGTTTCTCAGAACATTAATTAAAAAAATTAAAATGTATTTATTTGTTTCAGAAATATCTTAATCTTCCCAACAATATTATAAACTTATTGTATAATTCTTATACTTATATGAAAATAATCTAAAAATAAAATATTTAATTTGATGAAGTTTTTTTTTATATAATTGATCTTAAGCAGCTATTGGGAACTGTACTGTAGATCGATTTTTTAAAAAAATTATTTCATTAAAAAGACTCTTATTGCAATGAATTTTCTGATTAAATGCAATTACTTCTGTCAGTGAATATTGTCTGAAATATAAAATAGATTTTGATCAGTAGGAAAAAGATTTTTTTTTGTTAGTTCAATAAAGTAAAAAATAAATAGCAGCTGTTCTAGACAGACAGGTCTTCATAGTCATTTAAAAATCAAGGATTATGAGATTCAGTGTAGCGTTGCAATAGATTTAGGAGTTAAACTTTTAGGAAAAAAGTTCTTAAAATAAAAGTTCTAAGGAACTTTCTTGTAATAAAATTATGGTAAAAGTTTAACCTTTCTTTATTCAAGTTCTTAAAAAAATTGTGTTAAATGAAAAATAAACAGTAATTAGGCTTAAATTAGAGCTATAATTTGTCTTAAATGAATAACAAATGATTCTAACATGTTTGTTTGAGTAGCTACAAATAAAAGTAAATTTTTAGATAGATTTTTTAGCAAAATCGACAGAATTTTTAAATAAATGGTTTTTAAAAATAAAAGTTGTGTAAAACCTTTACTCGAATAGAAAAAGTATAGTTCCAAAATAATCAAAAAACTACCGACAATAAAAATTCCGATGATACCGAAACATTTAAAAAATTAAAGTTTTTATTCCGTTTCAAGTCCTGGATGTAGCACAAAATTGGAGGGACCCTACGCTCCACTGTTGTGAGTTCATGATTGGCAGAGCCTATATCTTTAGCCGACCTTGTACTAGAGCTTGATTTGACTTTAAGCAATTTATATATTGAAAGCAAAATAAGTTCACTAAGAAAAACGCTTGGGAGTTCCAATAAAGTGCCAACCTTTCCACTGCTCCAGACTCTTTTCGTAGTGTATGGCCAATCCAGTTCCACTTCCTTTTCTTATGCTCAATCGTCTCTGTTGATTTCTGGTGACATCTCATGTGACCTGCCAAGTTTTTGAGCCAAACAGAAGTACAGACTTGGTTTTATAGTGTCTCAGTTTCGTACTTATGGACATACTCCGATTTCTCCAGAGGGTAAAGAGCTGGATTAATGCAGTATTAGCTTTCTGAATGTATTCGCTCTGGAATCTTGGTCAGTTCCTCCTCTCTCTGAGGTCAAGATAAGGAAAGACTTACACTCTTTCTATAGTTTCCTCACCAATCTGAAGACTGTCCTTGACATATACTTTGTCTTCTTTATGTTTATTGAAAGGCCATCCTCTGCTGCATCCTCCCAGAGTTTTTTGATTTTAGCCTTAAAGTCTGAGAATCTCTGAGCCATAATACATACATCACCTGCAAACTCCTCCAGTCACTGGCTTTGTGTCCACTGGATTCCCCACTTTCATCGACCCAGTACCTCCTAATAATAGTTTCGACCATGATATTAATTAGGGTTGGAGATAGTACTTACCCCTGCTGCACCCCTAAATTTATCCTGATATGGCCTGACAGTTCCCCTGCAGTTGAAGTCCCTTCACCTGTCCTTGATAATCCTAACGATCTTCATGGGAGCTCCATACTTCTCTAGGATTAGGCACATGTAGCTCCTGTTCACAGAATCAAAGGCTCTCTTTTGATAGCTATGTAGACTTCGGTCTATAAAGGCTAAGTATAGGGAGAACCGGCACTCACAACTCTGCTCCACGATGATGCTCAGAGTGTCAGTGAGGTCTACTGTACATCAGTACTTCCTAAAACCACCCTGTTCTTTTCAAAGTCTCAACTCAATCACTTCCTTGATTGAGTATTTCTCAGGACAAAGCCTTGCTCACCATGGAAAGAAGTGTGATTCCCCACCTCTTCCAACAGTTGGTTATATCCCATTTTGTCAGCAGCTTGACGGTGAGGTCCTTTTTCCAATCTGCTGGAAAATTTTCCTGCTCCCAAATCCCTGTGATAACCAACAGATATTGGTAGCTGCATTCCGCATCAGTTTTGGGTAGTTCCGGTGCTGTCAGTTCCACTTTGCTTGGAAAATCCATACATATACATACTTTATATTGCAGATTATTTTTCACTAGAATTATCTTATTTTAATAAGGCCAGTACTGCTACGAGCCATGAAGGATTTTAGATTCAGTACTTTGTAAATGTATGCATCAAACCTTCTCTAATCCCAAAGTACATGGGACATAGGTGCTGGTTGTGCATCAGAAGAGATGTTAACGATCATAATAAAGTTAACTTAAAATTATTTTATTTAATTTATAGAAAAATTAAAGAAAACAAGGATGAAACATGTTATAGCTTAATTGAGAAGGGAGTATGTTCCAAACAATTGACTTTAGTGTGAATACATTAGTATTTGATTTTATGGAAAATTATGTGAGTACCTGTTAGACATGACGTGGAAATTGTAGTTCACAGTTTGATTTTGAGTTTGCCATTTATTCATATCTTGAGGGGTGTTGTATTAGGTACTTT